ACTTTCAGCAAAATTAATATTTATACCAGAAGTGAAATAGTCTGATAAATAATACAAAGAGACTCATGGCAACTACTACTCTTAAGATTTATTCCCTGGTGCACGAACTATATAAATTTAAGCGTGCTACTAGATTGGCATTTAGGTCCCACCCGTTTACTGTTGTAATAGCTAAATGCAATCGCCACTTTTCTCGCACCTACGGCTATGGAACTTTCTTCCATTTTCTTGCTTCTCTGATAATGTTCAAAAATCTAAATGTAAAGTCAATCGTCATCTTCTATCTTCTTGAATCCCATTCATCGTTTTTCCATTCCTCAATCCTCCCTATACTCAGTCTTTTCTCTCACTTTCACTCCCTGTACCCTCCGTTGCGTACTAGTGGAATTTCCAACTTGCTTGGTGTGAAATGATTTAAAAAAAAATCTGAACACGTTTTTAGATTGGTGAAAGAGACATTCCGAAAGCTGAGTAAGGTGCTGGAAAACAGAATTATGTTTTAGAAGCATAGAAAAGAGTTCTAGATTGCTATGTGATATCCATCCTCTTATATGACAGTGAATGCTGGACAATCTCCCCATGGATGAGGAGAAATGCTATTCTACAAAAAGCGATATAGGGAATCTCATTGAATTGATCGAATAAGTCTTAAAGAAAAGCATAACAAAAAGAGCTGCTTGTATTCATAATTAGGAAGAAACAACTAGAATTACTTAGAGATCTAATGAGGAAAGAGAGATTGGAAAACATAACCCTCACAGGGCGTATTGAGGGAAAATGCGATAGGGAAAGGCAGTTAACTACCAACTAGATGAGTTTGTGTTCATCCATGGCAGAACAGGGTTGCAGTGGACTTAGCAAGAGTAGAAAAGCAGTTATGTCCAAAATGACATAACCCTGATACACACACACACACACACACACATACTAATTCCCTAATAACTACAATCTTCAAAAATTCAAATGCAAATCAATCGCCATCTTCTATCTTTATGAATCCCGTTCATCGCTCGTCCATTCTTCAATCCTCCCTATACTCAATCTTTTGTTTCACTTTCACTCCCTGTAAATCCCCACGTACTAGTAGCATATTCTCGCCTGGCTTAGAATGAAATGATTTTTTTTAAAAAAATAGATGATAATGGAAACAGAATTTCATGGGAAAATTCTTGTATTGATGCAAAAGTTATCGATGCCGTCTTTTGAATCATATTAGACACTTTGAAGTTCGCTGAAATACTTGAACCAGCAGAAATGTAGTTCTACAGAAGGATGCTGAGGATACCATGGACCAAACATGTAAGCAGAGACAAAGTTTTAGAGAAAATGGAAACAAAAAGGAAACTTATACTTAACATCAGGAAGAGACAGTTGAAATTTCTACAGAAGGATGCTGAGGATACCATGGACCGAACATGTGATCAACGACGAGGTTTTAGAGGAAATGGAAAGAAAAAAGGAAACTTATACTTAACATCAGGAAGAGACAGTTGAAATTTCTACAGAAGGATGCTGAGGATACCATGGACCGAACATGTGAGCAACGATGAGGTTTTAGAGAAAATGGATACAAAAAGGAAACTTATACTTAACATCAGGAAGAGACAGTTGAAATTTCTCCAGAAGGATGCTGAGGATACCATGGACCGAACATGTGAGCAACGATGAGGTTTTAGAGAAAATGGAAACAAAAAGGAGACTTATACTTAACATCAGGAAGAGACAGTTGAAATTTCTACAGAAGGATGCTGAGGATACCATGGACCGAACATGTGAACAACGACGAGGTTTTAGAGAAAATGGAAACAAAAAGGAAACTTATACTTAATATCAGGAAGAGACAGTTGAAATTTCTACAGAAGGATGCTGAGGATACCATGGACCGAACATGTGAACAACGACGAGGTTTTAGAGAAAATGCAAACAAAAAGGAGACTTATACTTAACATCAGGAAGAGACAGTTGAAAACAGAAGGATGCTGAGGAAATGGACCGAACTGAGCAACGACAGAGTTTTAGAGAAAATGCAAACAAAAAGGAGACTTATACTTAACATCAGGAAGAGACAGTTGAAATTTCTACAGAAGGATGCTGAGGATACCATGGACCGAACATGTGAGCAACGACAGAGTTTTAGAGAAAATGGAAACAAAAAGGAAACTTATACTTAATATCTGGAAGAGACAGTTGAAAATTCTAGGGGCCTTAATGAGGAAAGATGGCTTGGAAAATCTGATACTCACAAGAGAAAGTGAAGGCAAGAGAAACAGAGGAAAACAATGCATAACCTAGTTAGTGAGATTGAATTAATGGATGGCGGAATAAGAGAAATAACAAAAAGACTAAAATTTATTAAGACCTACGAAGGACAGGAAATTATGCAGCGCTATGATCGCCTACGACCTGAAATGAACACGGCAGAAAATGAAAAAAAGACACTTTCATGATTTGGGAATAGGTGAATAGTTTTTTATATTTGATGTTGTAAGCATTTACTTGATATGGTGATAGGTAAATATTGGTCGCTTACATTTGAATCTATAACGATTTACTTGGTTCGGACAGAGGTAAATATTCACCAATTATATTCGAGTTTTTAACCATTTACTTGGTTCGGGCAGCGGTAAATATTGGCCAATGATATTCGAGTTTTTAACCATTTACTTGGTTCGATAATAGATTTATTTTAGTTGTTTGCCTGCGAGTCTATAAAAATATTGATTCTTGGATAAATAAACATTGGTCATTTATATTAGTTTATCAGACATGAAGTGACGCATTCTTTGCTTGGTCGCTGATCTGGACCCCTAACAATGTAACCTCCGTAATATATTGCAAGTCTTGACTTATTCCAGTCTCTTTTTCTTTCAATATAAATGTCCAATGAAAATAATTATAATCAAAGAATGTCTAGTAATCTTACTGTATGTGTACAAAATAAAGAAAAGAAGCATTTTTACAGCGAATCATTACATGCGATGAGAAATGGATACTCTTTGACAACTGTAAGAGAGTAGGCCAATGATTAGATTCAAGTGAATCAGTAAAACAATACCCAAAACTTCCACTGCACCCTAAAAATGGTTACTGTATGGTGGGCTTTCAAAGGGGTTATTCATTATTCATTCTTGCTTCACGGGAAAACAATAAAAGCAACCTTGTATTGTGGAGAAACTGAGTGTGTGCCCGAAAATTTCAAAAGGAAATATCTTCGACTTGTGAATAGAGATGGCCGAATTTTGTTTCACGACAACGCATGGCCGCACGCTTCTCAGTCAACTGTCCAAAATCTGCATAGCCTGAATTATGAAAGTTTGCCTCATCCTCCATATTCAGCTGTTATCTCTCCTACTGATTATCACTTATTTAAGCATTTTGAGCTTTTCATACGCAATAAAACAATAAGGAAGAGGTAATCGAAGCATTTGAACTGTTTATCACAGTAAAGGATGATACATTTTTTTAAAAGATGGGATCAAGAATTTAGGGATACATTAAAGAATATTCATTCATCAATATGGTGCCTATTTCAACTAAATAAATTAGTTATTTAACATTACAGAAGCGATTCATTCATTTTCTATAAAGTGCGTGATTTCCTGTATGACAACTTAATATTTGAGTCTATAAAAGCTTAACTGGTTCGGGCAAAGATAAATAAATGTATTAATAGTTTGTTTACATTGTACGTGGGTTGGTAAATAAATATTCGTCATTTATATTTGAGTCAGTAAGCATTTACTGCTTCTCGGATATATAAATACTGCTCATTTACATTGAAGCTTACAAATATTTACTTTATTCTGGAATAGGTAAATATTAGTCGTGTAGCTGAAGCCATTTATTTATGTTCAAAATATCTAGGTTTCGGCATTAAATTATCCATAGATGTGTTGATATGCACATCAAACACAATGATTGAAACACAATCAACCATCCAGCCAACCAAAGGTCTTGCACGTCAGTGTATTAACTTGTTTTTAATTGTATTATTATTAATGTTATCAGGATTCATGGCACAGTGGATAAAGGCGTTGGTTAGATCCAGTGACAGGACCCAAAGAGTGAGAGTTCAATACTTAAGGCAGTGGAGAACTTCGAGAGGGAAATTAACAGGAGATAACTGATAACTGACATCCATTAAACACGGCACATGGGACTAGAACAGTCTACCCCAGTGAGCGAAATAAAGGGTTGTTCGGCATTCCAACCACCTGAAAAAGGCCGGAGCGTACAACGGCCGAAACGTTGTAATAAATATGACGACAAAGATGAGGACAATAGTCCGAATAATGTAAATGGTTATCAATATTGTTAATACTAACAGCATTATTATATTGTTAATAATATTAACAATGTCATTAATTAATATTAACATGTTAAACCGTTTCCGTTCTTATATTTTTGAATACATTAAATAAATGTTGAATTAGTTTATTCTGAGATTGTTAACATTTGTTGATTCCACAAGCATATAAACTAAACATTGTGGTCGCCATTTTTCGTTTTTGTTGCCTCTCGTGTTTCCTCTGTTACAAACACCAGCAACCTGTTCATCGAACAGAAGTGTTTTTGATAAGCAACAGTCTTCTATCTATGTGAGCAGCTCGTGTCGTATCATCACATGCGAAAAGAAGTCTAATTTGTGTTTTCCTGTGTGTGTTTCCTTTGTACTGAAGGCAACCACGAAATTGTAATCGTAAGAAGCAACGCGTTTGTCAAAACAAAAACATAAGGAAAAACCAGAAAAGATTTCTGATAAAATTTGGAGCCATTTTCTGCTTGTTTATTTCATGCATTTTTTTTTCGTCGGAGATAAGGAAAAGTAGAGAGTAGAACTGGAAAAACGATTGTAAGAGTGATAATTGTTATTTTCTGGAAATAAAATAAGGTACTGGAAATCGCAGAAGAAACAACTGCAGATGTTGGTTCCCAGTAATCAACGTTGAGCCGATAGTGACAATAAAGGTCATTAAATAATTTAGTCGTTGCGAGCTTTGCTAAAGCGATAAGCAGTCCAGGATTTTAAGTACAGAGGTGAGAGAAAAAGAAAAAAGAAAGACAACAAAGAAGAGGAAGTCGAACAGATCGTCTTCAGATGAAGAAAGAAAGAAAGGGTGAAAAAAAGGCTGAAAGAAAGAAAGGCTGTAAGAAAGAAAGAAAAAAGAAAGAAAGTCTGAAAGTCTGAAAGAAACGCTGAAAGAAAAAAAGGCTGTAAGAAAGAAAGAAAAAAGAAAGAAAGTCTGAATGGCTGAAAGAAAGGCTGAAAAAAGAAAGAAAGGCTCAAAGAAAGAAAGAAAGAGAGAAAGAAAGAAAGAAAGAAAGGCTGAAAGAAATAAAAAAGAAAGAAAGACAGGCTGAAAGAAAGACAGGCTGAAAGAAAGGCTGAAAGAAAGAAAGAAAGAAAGGCTGAAAGAAAGAAAAAGAAAGAAAGGCTGAAAGAAAGAAAAAGAAAGAAAGAAAGGCTGAAAGAAAGGCTGAAAGAAAGGCTGAAAGAAAAAAAGAAAGGCTGAAAGAAATACTGAAAGAAAACCTGAAAGAAAGAAGGTTGACTGATTTTATTTTAGCGACATATCAACCTGTAAGTATTATCTAATGACAAAATCTAAATATTTCTACGAAATTTTATGCCTTCAACTACAGATATTTCTACAGAAAAATATCTTGAAATATTAAAGATTAAATTCATCTAATAAAAGCACCATTGGCTTCAACCACGGTTTCCAGTCGACTTCGGAACCTCCTGCAACACTTCTGGACGGTCTCCTTGTTTAAGTTGGTGAATGCTACCATAATCCCTGCGCTCAATTCATCTTTGGTGTTACAAGGAGTTTTGTTTGCCTATTACTCAACTGCGTCCCACACAGTGGGTTGCAATCTGGGGAATTAGGTAGTCAGATGTAAGGGGTGGTATGGTCGCAGAAATTGTCTGACAACAGTCACTGCTTGTGTGGAATGGAGCAGTACTACCTCCTCAAAGGATTTTTGTTTGTCTCTCGCTCAACTGCGCCTCACACATAATAATCAAGGGGGTTGCAGTCTGGGAGTTAGGTGGTCAGATATAAGGGGTGATGTGGTGACACAAATTGTCTGAAAGCCATGATTGCGTCCTCCTGTTTTTTTTAGGTTGGTACAGAGTCCTGTTGCCAGACATAGGGTCTTCCAGTAGCAACCCTCTAAACCCAGGTCAGCTCTACCTCCTCAATGCAATTGATGTAGGCCTCCATGTTCAGTCTGAGATTCTCCCCAACAAATTCGGTAGTTCATTCCTCATCAAAACAATCAGAGTGGGTTTTCCAAGCCGCCTTACCTTCGTAATCCCCATTAGACTCATCTAACTCTTTCTGAATACTCTTGACAGCTAAAAACTCTTAAATGTTCGTATTGGAGTTTCTGGCGCGATTGCCAAGCTGTACTGCATGCCGTTTCCAAATTTCTGGCTTAGTGAACTGCCAAGCCTAGAGAGAACAGTACTATTTAATCCATAGGTTTTAGTGAACCTTTTTTAGGTGTAGTATTTTTCTTTTCTTTGTGGCATTTTAAGATCGCTTGACTATTTATTTAAGAACATGAGTCTACAAGGCAATTGCTTAGCAGCAAGAATTTCAGCGATTTTCAGAAATTATTTTATATTCTTTCAGTGTCATTATTAAAATTATCTTGAATATTTTCTCATTCCAAAGTTGTTTGTGTTCATCGCATGCAACAAGAAAAAATTCCTCATGTGGCATTTCCCCGGTTTTCCAGCGTGTAACTCTCTTACGTCAGATCTCATGATATTGCCGTCGGCTGTCTTCTCTTCGTTGTTTCAGATCAATGAGAGGCCACATTTTTCCAAGGAGCTGCAGCAAAATATGTACTATATTCATTATCAGTTATGACAAAAGAAAATATATCCAATAACAAGACAAATTAAATATGCGGGTAGCATAGTGGTTATAGGCGAATAGGAATAGCGAGTCGAGCAAATTCCTGTTTCCTTTTGAAGAAATTGCCATCTCTTAACCTATTTCATGGGTTAAATAGTAAAATAGACTGGGCTGTCAGTTATGGACTTGGCAGTTATCAGTTTAGGAGATTGACGATTTTGAATTGAAAATAATTGATCAGTCAGTGAAACCACTTAAATCAGAAGATATATCAATTCATATGTAATACAGAAACGGAATATATATATATATATATATATATATATATATATATAGATATATATATATATATATATATATAGAGAGAGAGAGAACAGGGACAACAGATCAGATATAGCAGCGGTATTCAACGGACGGACGAATGGTAGATTTTTGCAGCGTCATTTCACTATAAGAAGAAGAGTAATGTAAAAACGAACGCGAAGAAGAAAAAGAAATATATTAAAGTAGAAATGAATTCAAAGACAGAATGAAAGAAAAGTGATATTAATTACAAAGTAAATGAAAAAAAAAAACTTAGTTTTTAAAAAGTCAGGATTTCCACATCAGACACTAAAGTTACACTGGCTACATGTATATCGACAAGTGATGATGAAAATGGCAAAACTTTATATAAGCTGATTTGCTTGAATGAAAAATGACAGGAAGAGAAAGGCTGTCTGAGAAATTCGCTTCAAAAAATAAGAACATTATTTTCCGCGACAAAATAGCGAATATTTTTTATCATATTCTCTTTCATCTTTGATCCTACATCGATAATCGAACTAGTAAGCCATGTTGAGCAGATACAGAAGCATATAATTGCAAACGAAAAAAGAGAGGTAAGGGGCTTCTTTTTTATTGATGGAAAAGCAATAATACAAAAAGACAATAAATTATTCAGTGTCTTACGATATAACGCACACACTAAGTATTTTTCATGTTCAATCTCTCACTCTCTTTAACTATCATTGTTTTCTCTCTTTCTCTCCCATTCTCGTGTTCTCATACATCACCGTACGTAAGCGGTTCAGATTGAGGAATCGGAGAGCCGAGTTCGAATTCTAGACAATTCCATTAAATTCACTTATGTGCTAATACCCTTGGAAAATGTATGAATCCTCTTCTTCTCCTCCCAGCTATTGATAAATAGCAAGACAGACCGGTTCTATAGCCTTGGCAACTGGTCTACCACCAGAAAGAAATGGCAACCTACTGCGGGAAAAATATCTGCCTCGTCATTCATGTATCGAAAGAAAACTGAAACCTTTTATTTCGCCCATCGGGGTAGATTGTTCTAGTTCCACGTGTCATGCCTCTTCCGAATGCCTCAGTTATTTCCCTTTAACTGAATCGTCTAAGCGTGTATCACGCATGGCACATAATTGACCGACGTAAACTACAAGTTATCAGGAATACTTTATAAATATACAGTGATTTAGTGAGCATAGCTTACTTGGAGCCGAAGGCATGGAACACCCAGTGTGAATCAAACTCATTACTCAGTCGTAATTCATCTAACCTTTACATCACGCAGAAGCATCTACATGTTGTAATGGTTAACAAGCTTGTCTTGCGAGATCACTTATGAGTGAATAGTAAGTTCGATCCTCAGTTTGATGTTTCATGCTTTTGGCCTTATGCGTAGCTTAGAAAATCATCATTACACCACGGCGAATTGCACAAGTGTTATACATATATATATATATATATATATATATATATATATATATGCACAAATTATGTTTTTAAATTTAAAGTGAAAAGTGAAAAGGAGTGAGCATTTTATAGATAAATATAAAACCGGAAATGAAGTTTTTTAAAATGGCTGCTTAATTTTTATATACCGGATGATTGAAAAGTAACTCCTTATTTTGTGTATGATGGTTTCGTTGTGTGTTTTGGGGAATTTCTCGTCAGGATGTTTGAAATGTAACTCTCTGTTTTATGTATGATGGACTCTCCCGTCTAACGATAATTCTTACAAGACGGGAGAGTCCATCATACATAAAACATAAATCGTGTACCGCCTTGATGTGCTTCGAGCAAATAATGGTGTCCATATAGACGTGTATTAAATTAGTTAAAAAAAAAAACTTTAATATCTACTCCTCATTTTCTAACAATTTCCACAAAATTGTCTCTCTCTCTCTCTCTCTATATATATATATATATATATATATATATATATATTCCCATTTTTCTGTTTATTCCTCGGTCCGTTGTCAGGAGAGTCCAAAAATTCCGAACTTAAAACAATTCTCTCCGTCCTTCATTTCTGACATATGGTTAATAATTAATATTTAATAAATGTTTATCATACTGATTAAGTTGGTACCATTTCATTTGTCCTTGTTTTATTAACTTATCTATTTTGCACACACCCACATATACATATATATATATATATATATATATATAGAGAGAGAGAGAGAGAGAGAGAGATAGATAGATAGATAGATAGATAGATAGATATATCAAATGAGGTATTATGATTATTTACATTATTCGGACTGTTATCCTCATATTCATTGCCATATTCACAACGTTTCGGCCGTTGTACGCTCCGGCCTTCTTCAGGTGATTGGAATTTCGAACCAAACCTTTTATTTCGTCCACTGGGTTAGATTGTTCTAGTTCCACGTGTCGTGCCTCTTCCGGATGCCTCAGTTATTTTCCTTTAACTGAACTCTCCAAGTGTTGGATTCATCATTACTGGCTACAGTGGATAAATCGTTGGTTAGATCCAATGACTAGACCCAAAGAGTTGTGAGTTAATTAACCAAGCTAAAATAGGAGTTACTCACCGACAGATGTTTTTGTAGATGGTGTATTTTCTGGTGGAAATCGTATTGTTAGCAAAATCCCGATTTCTGTCTGATTCCTCGATGTGCGAAACTTTTTATGAAAATAAACTTAAATTTAAAATGTTGATCGGTGTAAATGCTGTAGCCTGGTATTGAACTCACAACTCTTTCTACGGAAGGATGCTGAGGATACCATAGACCAAATATGTGAGCAACGATGAACTTTTAGAGAAAAGGGAAACAAAAAAGGCATTTATACTTAACCTCAGGAAATGAAAGATGAAATTTATGGGGTGCATAATGGGGAAAGATGTCTTGGAAAATCTAATACTCAGAGAAGAGGTTACATGCAAGAGAAACAAAAGAAAACAATGCATAAATTAGTGGTCTTTAGTAAATCGATGACGGAACAAGATTTAGGAGAAATAACAAAAAGACATTTTTTTTAAAAGCTACGAGGAACAGGAATTTGTGGAGGGCAATGACCACGTACGTCCTAGAGGGATAGAGCAATAAAGGAGATAGAACTGCTTGACCTGGATCAAAGTGTAGTACGCTGCCTTTGTGAGCTTCCGAGTCGGCGTCTGTCGAACTCTCTGCATTAGCAGAGAGGAACCCGGACGAAGCTTTGCCGAAGGGCAAGGTTTCGTCCGGGGAGGTAGACAGGGCCTGAACCCGTCTAGGCGGGTTCAAAGGCTATATTTTTTGGCCGAGCCTACGGGCTCGGAGATATCCACATTAAACCGGCCTTGTGCCACATTCAATCCTCGTGGGTGGATCGATAAATACCGAGCAAGACCTCCGAGTCTAGCTGAGTCGTGATACAGTCTTTGACGGTAAGCGACGTCTGTCGAACTCTCTGTGTTAGCAGAGAGGAACCCGGACGAAGCTTTGCCGAAGGGCAAGGTTTCGCCCGGGGAGGTAGACAGGGCCTGAACCCGTCTAGGCGGGTTCAAAGGCTATATTTTTGGCCGAGCCTACGGGCTCGGAGATATCCACATTAAACCGGCCTTGTGCCACATTCAATCCTCGTGGGTGGATCGATAAATACCGAGCAAGACCTCCGAGTCTAGCTGAGTCGTGATACAGTCTTTGACTGTAAGCGACGTCTGTCGAACTCTCTGTGTTAGAGAGGAACCCGGACGAAGTTTTGCCGAAGGGCAAGGTTTCGCCCGGGAGGTAGGCTGAGGGCCTGAACCCGTCTAGGCGGGTTCAAAGGCTATTTTGGCCGAGCCTACGGGCTCGGAGATATCCACATTAAACCGGCCTTGTGCCACATTCTATCCTCGTGGGTGGATCGATAAATACTGAGCAATAAAGGAGATAATTATTTCTTCTCGTTTAGACAGTCGCTGCACAGACGACACTTTCCAGCTTCGATAGAGTCCGAAAGTGTCACCGAGTCTTGTGGGTGACGAATTATTTTCCACCCCCCAAGCTCTCTCTCACAGGCGGGATGTGGCAAGCCCCTAGCTGCTCTATCGCTATTTTTATGGAAAGTGCTCGGACAAACGACTTTCCTTGGTTACGCCAGGCTTTATCTTCACGTCCAGGAGCAGCCAAGCCACTTACATTGTAGGAAACCATCCATATTCCCTCCGTATTCTGCTAGTAAGAAGTAAGTTCTACTCAAAACAACTTCTTCTCGCGAACAGCTGCTCTGTGGAACAGACTATGAAGTGGATGTTTTCCCGCTCACTACAACTTGCTCAAGTCTAGGGTTAACTGTTACATTCCTCTTCTATCCGTACAAACTGCCTCATGACGTAGCCCTCTACCTCGAGTTGTCCCCGGGCCGTGGGCAGGGTGGACCTTAGTGTAAAAAAAATTGTCAAATTGATCTTGTTCTGTTTTTCCACTGAATCTGCGACAAGTAGTGTTATCTGCGAAGCCTGTGCTATTAATTTGACGTCCGTCGATAATAAACCCGGGTAGGTGTTGTTAGAGTTATGTCGCTGTCCAAGTTAAATAAATCTAAAAAGAAAACATTCTTGTTTTAGTTCTCTTTCTACCTTTTGGCTTTTGGGAAATATATTAGAATAATCCGGAACATATGCTAGGAACGAACTTCCGGCATTGTGATAGAAAATGAATGGATCAACAATAAATGCGACGTAAGACAAGAATTCCAACCAATTTTATTTTATCTTTACAGCAATTGATAGGTTTCCTGTTAGGGAAGTTGGTTCAATGTGTCATGCTCGACAGTTTATATTGAGGGGTCCACTCCTTTTTATACAAATGAAGTCACACAGTATATACATATACTACTGCAAGAGCGAGAAAGGTTGTAGGTAACCGGAAGAGTGAGAGTGAAGTACCAGTGTTGTAGCAGTCACAGTGAGCGAGCATGTAGACTCAGTAAGAAGTCATTCAGCGATACTTCAATACGAAAGACTGTATAGATGTTTTGCTACTAACCCGCACTCCTGGAACTACTAACCTGCATTACCAGTTTGTATTCTTACATTTAATACATTTATTTTCCTATATTCCTTCTTGGCGTTTGTTATTTATTGGTACCGGATTTCATCCCGGAATCCACAAAAGTTTATCCCACCGGAATCTTATATATTTATATGTTTATTATTCGTCCTTGCTTTGAATATTGCTGCTACGTCGGATCTGGTGCTCCTGCTATATATGTTGAGATTCGTTAGAGAATCCAAAGAATCTGCAATTTGATCGGTCCTGAACTGGCATCTCAGATTCAGTCACTTTCCCTCCGCCGTAACGTAGATTTTCTCTGAGTTTTCTATAATTAGTTTCATAGTCATGAACTCTGGGGTAAGTAGAAATAATGAATTGAAGCTCAGTACTAGATTGGCGGCAAGGTCTCATCATTTTACTGTTGAAATGGCTAGACGTAACCCTTTAGTTTTATGCTAAGAGTTTCTTCCCTCA